CCCACCTGCAGCCCGACACCCCCCCCACCCCCCGCCGCCAGCTCCCGACCAGCTGACCAGCTCTGCATCCAGTCTCACGGGCCCTGACAGCACCCCCTTTCCTCTCTGCTCCCCGCAGCCTTGTTCCTTGATCGCCTGATGAAGCGGAGGCAGGACAGTGGCTACCTCATTGAGGAGATTGGAGATGTGCTGCTGGCCCAGGTGAGGGTGCCCAGCCTAGGCCCAGGTGAGGGTGCCTCCCCTTCCCCTCACCCCGCCCCCTCCTCCTGTCTGGGGACCTGAAATGCAGGCCCCAGGAGACCAGGTCTCAAGCTTTCAACCCCTTCAAGACCCAGGGGTCTGGGCCCCTAACCTGTCCTCCTGTCTAGGCTGCCATCCCCATGTGAGGCCCCGCTGCCCCCAATCCCACCTGAGACGCCCTCCCTGGCCTGAATCTTGCTGTAGTTTGATGGTACCGAGGGCTCCTGGTTCCAGAAAATCTCCTCCCGCTTCTGCAGCCGCCAGTCGTTTGCCTTAGAGCAGCTCAAAGCCAAACAGCGCAAGGAGCCTCGGTTCTGTGCCTTTGTGCAGGTGAGGCAGGGGTCTGGGCCCCAGGGTCCCAGGGGAGGGGGGCCGGCGTCCCGGTCCCCAAGGCCAGCCGCAGCAGAGCCACCTCAGCACTGCCGTCCCCGCAGGAGGCCGAGAGCCGCCCCCGGTGCCGCCGCCTGCAGCTGAAGGACATGATTCCCACGGAGATGCAGCGTCTGACCAAGTACCCCCTGCTTCTGCAGAGCATCGGGCAGAACACAGGTAGCCGCCGGCCCTGCCCTGTGCTGCTGGGCCTCCGCTCTCCTGTCCCTGACCTTGGCCTAGGGACTGGGAGCTTCCGGGGTTGGGGCTCACCGGGGCTGGTCTCCCCCTTGCCTGCAGAAGAGCCTGCGGAACGGGAGAAAGTGGAGCAGGCGGCTGAGTGCTGTAGGGAAATTCTGCACCACGTCAACCAGGCCGTGCGTGACATGGAGGACCTGCTGGTGAGCCTGGGCGGGGCCCCGGGCCGGGGCAGTGGTGTGCGCGTGGGCAGGACCCCCGGCTTGGCTTGTCCCCGTCGGGGTCACTGTGGGTTGGCCCCAACTCTTGGCTTGTCACAGTGACACTCCCTTCCCTTCCCTGCCCCAGCGGCTCAAGGATTATCAGAGGCGCCTGGATTTGTCCCACCTTCGGCAGAGCAGCGACCCCATGCTGAGCGAGTTCAAGGTGGCCCCGCCCCCGCCCCACCTGCCCTCCCCTCTCCTCCCCTCCGCCCCGCCCTGGGGATTCTCTGATAACACACCCAGGAAGCAAGAGGGGCCCCTCAACCCCGACCCCCTTCTCATTCCCAGCGGGGCAGCCCCTCCTGACCCCATGGTCATCCCCATCTTCCCCTGTCCCGCCCTCACCTTCACTGACCATCACTCCTTCCCTGTTCCTGCCTCCAGAGCCTGGACATCACCAAAAAGAAGCTGGTCCACGAGGGCCCACTGACGTGGCGGGTGACCAAGGACAAGGCTGTGGGTGAGCGAGCGCCAGGGCTGTGAGCGGGGGGCCGCGGGACAGGGCTGTCCAGTGAGCATGCTGGGTGAGCGCCAGGGCTGCGAGCGGGGGCCGCGGGACAGGGCTGTCCAGTGAGCGTGCTGAGCACAGGCCTCGCCCCCCTGCAGAGGTCCACGTCCTGCTGCTGGACGACCTGCTGCTGCTGCTGCAGCGCCAGGATGAGCGGCTGTTGCTCAAATCTCACAGCCGGACGCTGACGCCCACACCCGACGGCAAGACCATGCTGCGGCCGGTGCTGCGGCTCACCTCCGCCATGACCCGAGAGGTGGCCACTGGTGAGGCCCCAGGCACAGCTGTCCCCGAGGCAGGGGAGGAGCCCTCCAAGGAGCCCGGCGAGCACGTTCTGGCCAAGGGGAGGCCTGGCAGCCCGAGGCCGAGGCTGTGAGAGGGGGGCCCTGGGCTGGGCACGGCCGGGTCCCCAGGCCGGCTGTGGCTTTTATTGAGTGAGATGGGGAACTGCCCCAGGTTTTTGCACAGATGAGCAGCCAGTTCTAACTGGTATTTTGAAAAGACACGCTGGCTGCCTCTTGGGGGTTGTAGGCAGCAGGGGTGGGAGTGGTTCCAGGGGTCTCATAGGTAGAGCCAGACTGGGGCCTTGTTTCCTGATTAGGTGAGGGAGGGCTCCGGAGGGAGGCACCGGGGGCGGGGCAGGGGGTGAGTGGAGTCATGGGAGCCACAAGGTGCCACCATGATGGCGGTCTTCCCCAGGTGCACGTTGGGATGGCCCTGGCTTTGAGCCTCACCTCTCCCTCCCCCTGCAGATCACAAAGCCTTCTATGTCATTTTTACCTGGGACCAGGAGGCCCAGATATACGAGCTGGTGGCCCAGACCGTGTCGGAGCGGAAGAAGTGAGCAGCTCTGGGTTCCAAGGGCGGGT